AAAAAAAAAAAAAAACGGAAAAAAAAAAGTTAAAGTGTGCCACAATAATGAAAAATATTAGGTAAACAATAGTAGGACTGGTAGTCAGATGTGGCAAAAATAATAAAAGTGGTTTGCAGTGACTGAAATTTAGGGGACACTAATATAGAGGTTATTTACAACTCTGAAATTCTGTTATTTAACCTCTCAGAGTCTTGTCTTATTAATTTTTGTAAATGAGGTAGTAATATTTGACCTTGGGTTTTGTAAGGATAAATGAGATGAGACAAGTGAATGCAATTTATAAATTGTAAAGCACCTTACAATTATGAGGTCTTATAGTCATAATTCTGCCCAGTTCTCTGCTCTGACAGAACCACTCTGTGCATACTTCCATCATTGCACTTAACAATTCCTCTTGAAATTATATGTTCACCTATATGCTTCTCTGACTCTATTTCTAACCCTATAAAGAAAATACCGTCACTTTAGGGCAATCCTAGTTTAGTTCATTCTTTACCTGCTCTAATCTTGTCAGACAGTGCTTAGTGTGTGAAAATCTTTATGAAATGAGAAACTTTATCCACCTGTGGTTTTGAGGCCACACAATTTATTAGAGGTTGATTCAGGACTAGAACCCAGATCCAAATCCAAAGAAAATGTTTTTTTTGTTCAGTGTATTTGTTTTTTTCTATCAGCCAAATTTGGAGAAATGAGTATTTTCTTTATCTATTTGACCCTGAAAAGGCAAGAAGGCATTAAAACTTTCTTTTACTCTAACACTCTACATTTTACTTTATTTCTTATAAACTAAAAAGAAATGGACAACCCAGGCTTCTAAAAGTTCAAAGGCTATAACTATAATATTGAAAACATGTAAAGTAAATCAGTGCTGTGGTCTAAATAAACTATATTTTCTAATTCAACCTACCCTAGCACTATAGAAAATAATTGAGCTATACATGATGCATTTTTAACTCCCTAAGCTTAAAAAAAAAAACCTAGAGCCCTAAAGAGCACTTTTTAAAAAGGTGAAGCATGTTATTTCATTTCCATTTTTCCAAAAATACATATATAAGACTTATTTAGGACTTTCACACTTGCCCGAGAACCTTGAGTGGTTGGCCAGAGCAAACTAGTGGCTTGGATGGCCTGCCAACAAGTCTTGAGGAAAGCTTGCTGGATGATAGTCCTTTGGTAAAGGAGTGTGGCCCCATTTTTGCAGTTTGGAACATCAGGGCTGAGAGTTAGTAAGCTGATCTGATTTGGAGCAGTAGCATTAGCAGTACAGTAGGATAAGGGCATATTTCTGATGGCCGGAACAGGAGGAGCCTCTGGAATCTTAAACAAAAGCTGAGATCCTGTTTGGATTAGGAAGATAAGTTTCTAATCATCCTATAAATAACAAAACAGAAGAAAGATGTGGCCCCTCCAGGATAATGTAACTACACTTCTTAAGCAAGCAGTGGCAGAAAACAGAACGCTTGCTGAAGGTAAGGTGGTGACCTGGATTGGGGCCCAGGAAGGAAGACATTGCTGCATAGTCATTTAGCAGCCATAATGGTAGATCTCGGCTTCTGGCAGGCAGCCTTGTAGACTTAATTATATAGGAGTGAACATCAGCACAGGCGTAGACGGTTGTGATGGCCTCCTCTAGCAGCCAGCTCTTCCCTGTAAACTAATCTTTCCAAGAATCTAATTACAGCATAAGACAGTGCTTTCTTTCCCCAGTTCTTCTTAGTCCCCACTGTTTTATGTCGACCTTGGCATTGGCATTTCACCACCTCTCCTTTCCCATTGCTCTCACCATTGCAAAGCACTCACATGCTACTAGTAAATAAAGAATGTGGATTTTGAAATGCATGTAGCAGACTGTGTGCTTTATAAAGCAAGACCAACCTTACTTACAATTTATAAAAACTAGACAATTAACTATAATGTGACTTGAGAGGTGAAAAAATGCCCTGCACCGCCTCCCACCATACATGCACACACACACACACACACACACGGTACCTTCAGTGGCTCCTTGCATTGCTTGAAATTTAATCACTATGGATATAGATTGCTTTAGATTAATCAACTTTTTCATTGTAAATGCAAATATAACTAAGATCAATAAAAAGCCTCCTGAACAATATGGTAGAGTAGAGCTCTCCAGTGAGTTACAGGTGAGATGTGAGATATTGATGGTGAGAAATTTCTTATAATGATAAAACACTTTAAATCATTTTTAACAATCATGTAAAAATTGACAACAGTTGAAGTTATGTTTCAACATTACCTATTTGGCTTCCTATGTAAACATCCTGAATTCAGAAATTACTCTGGCAGGTAAGATTTTATGCCTACCACTTGACGCTAGAGGGCGCTTTGTCACGGTTATGCCACATAGCACTTTCCCAAGATACGTCATACAGGTATTGTCGTTTTTTAATGTGTGCCACGACATGAAAAGATCACAGCTGTGATTCATTTTGGCATTTAATTTGTTTATGTAGCATCTGTTATCAACTATATCATAAAAGAAAGGATATGTTAAAATATAACAAAAAACAAAAACAAAAAATCTCAGAATAAAAAAACAGTCCTTTAACTTGAGTAAATTTAACATTAGGAAAAACTCACTACATTGTCTTTATTTCTCTCATTTTTCCTAGGACTCAACAAACTTTATCATGAGCCAGCACTGGGTTTTAAAAACAGTGGAAAGAGCTTATTTAATAACGGCAATTGGAAATTAATATTGATTTAAAAGATGTGAGGGGTAGCCTATGTAATATCTGTAGAACTTCCTTATTAGTTTCCAAATTGTATTTTCTGCAATCCAATATTAAAATTTATGTGCAGTTCTTAAGCATCAATTGAGAATCAGAAGACATGGGCCGAGGAGCATTTGGGGATTATTTCTGGGGGAACAACTTAACAAAAATAGTAGATAAGCACTATGCTAGATGCTCAGGATAAATGAACAGGACTGGTCTCTGTATTCAAGAAGCCCAGAGGGATCATACACATGCAATAAAATTAATTGAGGTTAATGAGATAAGTGCTCCAATAGACTTATGTACGAGATTTAGAGATAGCACAGAGAAAGTTGGGGTATAGCAATTACCTGGGGTGGGGGAGCCCTTGCCATTTTTTCTGAGCATGGAGAAATTATAAAGTAACTTCTGAAGAGACCTCAGGTTTTCCAACACTCACTCATTTTCTTTGCCTATAGAAGCACTTCCGGAAGAGTTGGGAGCTTAATGCAAAAACTGATTCCAAACTTGGATTCCAAAATAACTATCATTCCTTTTTTTACCTTTAATTATGCTTAAGGAATATTCTTCTTTTCCCAGTCATTGAACTTCCTCAGTGAGCCTTTACTGTTAAAAATGATTTATGCAAGGAATTTGCTTGATTTGATGCAGATTTGGTTATATACTTTTTATTTTATGTAGTGGAAGACTTGGGCTAGAGCCTTCTTGCAACAAATGAAATGAAATGAGATGGGAGTTAACTTATAACCTAGCAAATTAAGC